ACGTTTCAAATTAGTAACTGGTTGTGTCGATAATTACAACAGGCAGTGGAGTGAGGATCGTCTACACCTCACAACACAATGATGGAAGTCAGTGTTTATGTTTATGAAGGCTGAGGCAACGTTACACCTAAACAAACAAGGATTTAGGATTTTTTTTGGGGGAGGGAGGGGGCTTACATTGTTTGTATTTCTGTAGTGTAAACATGTATACTGCAACAAGTGTAGGTGCTGGAGAGGGGAGGAGGGGGGGGGGGTGGGGAAGGGGTGAGGGAAGGAGGGAGGGAGTGGGATGGAGGGGTTAGGGAGGGAGGGAGGGATATGTTGTATGTGTTAGTACAGTGTGTGTGTGTGTGTGTGTGTGTGTGTGTGTGTGTGTGTGTGTGTGTGTGTGTGTGTGTGTGTGTGTGTGTTTCACCACTAGCACCAGTACATCTAAACTTACCTATAAAGAATAACACCATATCTTTACCACTTAACAACTCCAACAATTAAAAACAAAAATAACTAAAAATTCTCACTCAACGGTAACCTTCCACCCTTCCTCCCATCATCCCCCTCCCCCCATCACACCCCCTCCCCTCCTCACCCATTAACGTGAAGACATAGATCATCCCCACCTGTTATGCAATTTCTGCCCTTGTGTTGCCTTTTATTAATTTTCCCCCCCAACTCCTAAAATTCTTTTCTTTCCAAACTCGAGAGAAAAGTGGCTGATATACTGGAGTGGGCAATTTGTAGGAGCCAGCCAACCTGTATAACTTAGTAAGTGAACAATATGCTATTATTAAAACAGGGAATGCAAGGGGAGGGTGGAGGTGAGAGAAAGAGAGAGAGAAAGAGACATATGCAGGTACAGAGTCACAGATAGAAAGAGGTGGTAAAGAGAGAGAGAGAGAGAGAGAGAGAGAGAGAGAGACATATGAAGAGGAATAGCATCAACAACTAACCGATAAAACAAGAAGAAGAAGCAAGAGAGAGAGAGAGAAAGAGATGATAAAAAGAAAGAGAAAGAGGAAGAGAAATCAGAATTAGTTTATTGACCAAGAAAAGAAAAGGAAACAAGAGAAAACTCAATATAGACGGGAGATAGAGTGTTAGTGAGGAAGTGGGAAGTAAGATAGGCTTGATACAAGTAAGAGGAGGTTAGGAGAGAAGAACAAGTGAGAAAGAGGGAGGAAGGAAGGAAAGGAAAGGAGAGAGAATATGTAGCTTAATAAAGAGAGTAAGAGGGAAGAAGGAAGGAAAAAGAATATGAAGATAAAGATGGAATATAAGAATAAGAAAGAAAGGTACAGGAAAGGCAAATAAAGGAAAATAAATATAAATAACAATAAACAGAAGGATATGAAACAAGTATGAAATGATGAAAGGAAAAGAAAATCATAAACAAAAGCTTAAATATAAAGCAATATAAAAAATAAAATGGAAAGGGAACAATAATTGGTACGTGGAAAAGGGAATAAGAAAGGAGGAAGAAAGATAACGTTTAATAGAGAGGGGAAGAAGGGAGGTGAACAGAAACAGCTGACTGGAATTGCAGAATGAAAGGAATTAGGGGAACGAGATAAACTGCTGGTTGTGGCCAAGTGAGAGGCGAGGAAGAGAAGTGAGGAGGTGGAGAAAGTGAAGTAGAAATGGAGGAGGGAGAATAGAGGGGAAATAGAGTGGCATAAAAGAGAGTGAGGAGGAAGAGGTGGTTAGGTTATCTTAGAATAGGTTAGGTTAGGTTAGGTTATGATAAGTGGTTAAGTTAGGGTTAGGTTAGATTGCTAGGTTAAGATAGGTTAGCTTAGGATAGGTTAAGTTAGGTTAAGTTAGGCTAGGTTGAGGTAGGGTAGAGTTAGGTTAGGGTTAGGCACATTTTAGGTTAGGGTTTGAGG